GAAATGTTAAAGATGAAGCTAACCAGTCAAAAACAACCAGTTTCCATTGCTCAAACAAAACCTTGGGTGTGTGGGCTACGTCTTCATCAAGTTCTTAACGTCATCAAGTTCTTAACAATAAGTACATAGTAAAGAAAAATTGGTTATAATCTAAATTTTTCTCATAAAAACCATTATTAGCATTTAGAAGACATATAATATTATGCTTATTTACATCTGACTCATAACCACCTGTGAATATGGCATGTTGGAGGTGACTGTGTTGAACTTGCGGCTTAGCGTGCTGCTGCTGGTGTAGCTGGAGAAGCTAATAGCATCCAGGTTGTCCAGAGCCACTGACTCCTTCATGAACTTCCTCTCCATGCGCTCCCGGTGCCTCATTTGGAGCTTCTCACAGTCTTTGATGCGACGCTCCGCAGCCCGAAATGCTCGGTCTTTCAGCTTACTGACCAGCTTCGGGTTGAGGGTGATCTGCTTGGAGGCGGTGGAGTCCAGATATCGCACACAATCCATGTGGCCCTTGGAGGCTGCCATGTCCAGAGGTGTGTGATAGTCATTGTCCAGACACCAAAGGTTGGCACCGAAAGCTACCAGGAAGGAGAGCGAACTGAGGTGGCCGTTGGCAGCTGCCAGGTGGAGTGGCGTGTTCCCCCAGATGTCACATTTGTCTGGATCACCTCTAAGACACAGGAGAGGAGATGTCTAATTAAATTTATTGAACTGATTCTTATGCTAATTTTAAAGGTTTTCTTTTCAGCTGTAGACACTGGGAGATTTCTTGTAGAAAAGGCAAAAATCTACTTTAACTGTGAGTGTGAGTTAAGTTAGTCAGCTAGGGGAAGATTTTTTTCTTCAAATTAATTAGATATCTACAGATGATCTTTAAGAGGATCAGAAGTGGCTAAAATAAACTAACCCTTGTTCTTTGATTAACTTCATTTTAAAGTTAGAATAGAATAGAATAGAATAGAATAGAATAGAAACAGCCTTTATCATCACACAAAGTAAATTCTAATTTTAAAGTAATTACAGTCGAGTAAACTGATTTTCATGAAAATCCAGTTTTTTTTCCTCCTTCCTCCTGATATTAATGAATTATAAGAATAAGCCCCAATATGCAGTTTATTCCCCCAGGTGTTACTGTATCGTTATCATGACATAAACAGGAGCATTCAGCTGCAGCAGCGACAAACTTTCTTTCTTTTTTTCCCTCCTCTTACACGGCCAGTCCATGATCAATAATTGAAGCTCTGCAGGTTAAACATGACAGAGGTGACATTGCATTATTCATCCCACACACCCAAAGTCTTTTTTTCGCACACACCCACAAACATGCAGTCACCACAACAGGTTCCACCAGCCTCATCAGCATCTCCTCTGGCTTTATTTTCAGCTTGTGACCCTGATGGACCTTTTTAAAGTTCTTCGTTCTGCTGTTTGTTTAAAAGCTGTAACGCAGATCCAGTTGCAGCGGTGGGAAATGTATCACTGTAGTAACATGCAACAGGAATCACACCTACGTAACTCAGGCAGTAATCTGATCACATGTAGCTCCAGTTTAGAGGCGATAAAGCAGAGATAAACAACAAAAAAACAAATCTGTTTTCTGCTGCTGTCAAGAGCAATTGTTCTGAGGAAGCTCTGACTGTGAGACTTTATTCGTAAGTCATTTAAAATCATTAAATGCAACTCAAGTTGTTTTTGGCACTCAGTTATCCTTTAATCCCAAGAAAAGTATGGGATATGAAATGCAATAGAATAGTTTAGGTGTTTGCTTGTACACTTAGAATAATCTAAGTGTAATCAAATGTAATTAAAATGATTTAACCTCTAAAACTTAAACACCAGTGCCATATACAGAATGTGAATATAACGTATGTTACAGTGGAGTGCGACCGTCTATAATTGTAAACAGAAGATGATTGATTTGCTGTTGGCAAACAGCTTTTTTAAGGTAAGAAAATATGTTGCTGTACCATTGTGCTTAATTTTTATGTACCACTACAAAATGTATTTTGATATTCAAAGATTGTGTTATAAAATTAAATCACTGTTGGACCTTCAGACTCGATAGACTAATTACAGGAGCTAGTATAACTATTGATTCATCAGTGCACTGCATTAACCCACTTTGGTTCGAGCAGCAAGAAGAGGAATTGTTTCAGGAAGGAAATTATGTGCCCATGACCAGAATAAATATGCTTTCTTTCGTCAATCATGAGGGAAACATCAGGAGGATATTACATAATCTGAATTATTGTGCTGCTTCTGCATTATTAATACTTAGAATTGTTAAAACGAAGCAGGCCTTAGTACCATCTGCTTTTTAAAGGGGTATTTTTCCATTATTTCTAGACACTAAGCTAGATAAAATTACCCTAAAAGCATCCTGAAATGTCCCTTTTCTTAAAGGTAATGGTAGCTAAGCTAAATGTAGCTCAGGGCTCCAGCATTTTCAAAATATAGCTTTTCCCTGCTGGTGTGGTCAGTCATAGAAAGCACCGAGGTCATTAACAATTAATATTGTTAATTATGGTGCTTTGGACTTAAAAAAGATTGTTTAAGACAGCAAATCATTAGATTCTTTATGTTCATTTAAGTCACCTTTCTGGTAATCCAAATGATCAAATCACTGCGGTGACTGATACATATTTTGTCATGAGCTACAAGTTTGAAGACATAAACAATATGACACTTCCCCTTTTGAATTATATAACTTTCAGTGTGCACATGCTGCTTTGTAAATGTAAATTAAAATACAAGAGATGAAGCTGAACGGCAGCACAGTGTCGCAGTTGGTAGCACTGTTGCCTTGTAGCAAGACGGTTTCCCAGCCCGGGGTCTTTCTGCATGGAGTTTGCATGTTCTCCCTGTGAATGCGTGGGTTCTCTCCGGGTACGCAGGTCTATAATATAAAATCCCAGTAACATAAAGTAAACACTGAGATTTAATTGCAAGGAGACAAAAGGTGGAAAAGTTAACGGCATAGAAATATTTTTCCACATTTTTTTAACACACATTTAGCGGTGTTAAAGTTTTTCATCAATAAATTCTAATTGTTTCTCTTTTAATACATATGTGTCTACATTCTTTGTAAATATGTTGCTGCTTGGCTTAAAGACGATTGTATTGGGCAAAAACAAATAAATGAAAATTTGGAGACATGACTGAATAGACATTCTCACTGTAGTATAAAAATAAAGAAGATTCTTTGCTATACTGAAATGTTAGCAAAAAAAAGAAGGAAAAAAGCAATTATACAAGTCTTCCAGGAATTCCTGTGTTATTGACACATTCATTGCAACAATCTGTGTATGTCTTTCTCCTGGTCTGTTTCTATCAATCAATATCTATGACCTTTCCAAGAGTCGACTGTCCTCTGTATCACCGCATGCCCTATAAACCTGTAGTCAGCTGCACGATAAAGGGCACCCAGACTGTTTCATTCTGCTTCAACAGATAACAAGGAGCCACTTTGATCAGCATCCTGCTTTGGTTGTAGCTTGAAAACCTCAGCAGATGTTGATCCTAAAACCTTTCCTGCATCTCAACATAGACATTCAGCCAAACATAATGGATTTTCGCTTTTAGATCATTTTTAATCTAGTTGAGTGAAATTATTACTGATGGCTTCTGGATAAGATTTAGAGTGCTAGCCTGCTGACCAGGCTGGTCTGTTCTAAAATTGATCATAACTGAACATGAAGCTGTCACAGTGTGCATTCACTTGTTTAACCTGACCTTTCTATGTAATGGGGCTGTAAACCCCTCTATATGTCCTTCCACTAATTAAACTGCTAAGGAAGGAAGTAACATTTATTCTCAATATTTTATTTCTTATGATTAGATTAGTTTTTTCCATAACAACAACAACAATAATAATAATAATAATAATAATAATAATAATAATAATAATTCTATTTTAAACTAGACTTTGATTTGGTTAAATTACCTTTTTTTAAATATAGTTCTTAGGTCACGTTTCAAACTCTATAACAAATTTATTTATAAACAAACAATAAATATTTTTTATGGACTCACCCTCTGCCAACGATGAGCCGTAGAGCCTCCAGGTTGCCGTGGTAAGCGGCCCATAAGGTCGGCGTCATCCCATCTTCGTCCGGGGCGTTCAGCTCCTTACGAGTGGCTTCCTTCAGGATGTCCAGGTAGCCGTCCCGGGCCGCCCGGTGGTACCGGTCATTCATGGCGGCCTTGGCTCAATTTGAGCTCCAGTCCATAACCTTTAGTCCCTTTGAAGAGCTGACTTCTCGGTTCGCTCCGGGACGCTGCGGCCTGCAGAGCCCACTGCTGGGCAGCTGGTTGCTTAGAGACGGCGGCCAGCTGTAAGTCAGGAATGGGCGGAGTTGTCTCCACGTAAAGACGCGCCCCGCTTCACGTATAAGTCAAATCTGGAGCATCCTTCAGTTTTGAAGATGATTTCGAATCCCGACAAGTTAAATTTAAGCATCCCTCTTTAATGTCATTGTTTTCACATAATTGTTTTTTTAGTTCCAACCCCCACAACGTTTAAATGTTGTTGAGGTGTACAATGATCAAAACAACATTAAAATCCAAAACAGCCCGACTGCTCGAATGATCTTTTCTTGTTCCATTAACAAGAAATGGAACAAGGACAAACACTCTTCCCTTCCCTACCGTTTGGCATTGAAATAGATTAAACAATAAATGTTGGAATGAGACATTTTTGGATGTTACCTTTACCTTTGACATAAATGTCCTTATATTATTTGGTAGAATTACCTTTCAAATTATATGATTTGGGTGAAACAGGTTGCCGCCTGCTGCACACGACTTTTCAGTTCTGACCATGTATTTTCTTTTAGACCAGTGAGATTCTTTTAAAAATAGTTGAAAGTCTGATCCCGTCGCATGCATTCATATTCAGTATGTTCTCAAACATTTTACTTTATATCCCTTGCTTGTCAGAGATCGCCTTGTTGGGGTCACCAGGAGGTCACTGTCCTCACAACACGTCATTAGCTACACGTCAGCGAACAACTGACGTGTAGCAACTAGTAAAAAGCGTTTACTAGTTGTCAGCGAACAACTAGTAAAAGTTTTTACTAGTTGTTCGTTGACGTGTATCCACAAAAACCTTGTTTTTTATTAGCTGGAGAAAAAAAATACATTATTAGGTAATGCACTCATATTGCTACATTCAAACTGTTTTTGTAACTGAAAATATAACAAAGAAAAAATTTATCACTCCTCTTAAATCCACACTCATAGATGCACACTGCTCTACATTTTATCAGCCAAAGAAAACAACAAGGCGCTTTACAAACACATAAATACTTACAAAGACGAAAGTTTTCCAAGGTACGTACAAAGCGTAAAAACGTTTACTGCCTCCCCAACTGCCTAAATTCTTGTTGCCAAGGTTACTGAAGAAAAATACGTCAGATATCGTTTGCTCCAAAGAGCGCTCACTCGGTAATCTTTCTACAAATATACGAAGATTGTAGTACAGATGTCACACTCGGATCAAATTCCAAACACCAAATGTTTAAAACATGTTCAGAATAGTCACACAATTACGAACTTATGTCCACTATAAGCTAATTTATAGTATATTTGACCGAATGGCCTCACAGTTACACATCCAGTAGATACAAAAATTATTTTCCATTTTAGTTTGACTGACTGTAGCCAATCGATTCAGAAAGTTGACAGCTCTAAAACTTAGGCATTTTATCAATTCTTCATGCTTTTTATTGTTTCCAAAGGTAAAATTTGGTAAATCCAGTTTAGCCAGGTCCACCCACTCTGAGCCAATAATTTTTTCCCCTTTCACATACAAATATTTATATTTGATTACTTTTTAAATCTGCAGATTGCTTGCATAAGTACAATTATGTACAGTTCCTTTTATATTTTTAAGAAATAAAATAATTAAAAAAGTCTTTTAAAAAAATAAATAAAAATTCTGATAAGCATTTTTTTTTTTAAAGGACATAAATATTTTTGACAACTTGATTTAGACTTTATCTAGCTGCAGCATAAATCTTTGCTACAGCTGTGTTTCACTGTGTGTACTAAATCTTCTGTAGTGCATTCCAATTAGTTCTTAAATAAAGTATTTAAGTGATTGAAGAACATTATATTCAACCAATGATTTCATGTTGGATTTATTGCATAATGAAGAACTTTCAAGGTATGTTTAGAGAATCTTTATTTTTTGAGTAAGTTGGTCAAAGATCATCTGGCAGAACTTGTTGTGGTCAACTCCAGCAGCTCCTCTAAATCCTATGAATCTCAAAAAGCCTTATGTCCGTATCGTACCAGATTGGAGGATCCACATTCCTTCAAAGAACAGAAGGAAGAGTGAAAAAATCAGTTTCAGCAGCCAAACTGAAATCCACTGTGAATCTACATCCGGTATGTTTACCGTAGGTAGATGACTCCCCACATGTAGGTCCGGAACCACATGGCAGTGCCAGAGTTGGCCTGGTACTTCCTGATCAGGATGGGGTGAGGGACTGGGAGGAGGCCGACCAGCGTGCCGTGCTGCAGGAATTTCAAGATCTCTGACTCATCTGTTAAACCCCTGAAGATAAAACAAAACCTCCTCATTTGATCCAGCTCTAAACAATTGGAACATCTCAGATTTAAGAATCAAATTCTCAAAACATCAACTTTTTGCTTATTTGCAATTTGAGCACTGCCAGAATTTACAGCAATCTCTTGTAAATCAGTTAAACTATTAAATCCATCTGGCTTCTAATTAAAACTTTTCTCCTACTTGTCGATGCAGATCTTCTCCACCTGAGGGACCAAGACTTGCAGAAGCCGCATGATGGTTTGCAGAGGAAGTCTAGATTTCCATGACAACATCTAACAGGAACAGGTAAATAAAGCATAAAATCTCCTGACAAAAACCAACAAGCAGCAGAAATAAACATAAAAAAAAAAACCTCTCTCACCCAGCCTGAATTAGCGGTCCAAGCGGCAGTAGATGAGACGCTCGATATTCGACTTCTTGATGTCTGCGACCTCGTGAAGACCTGATGACAGGATGAAACTGTGAGAAAGCAGAAAAATAAACAGAGTGCGAGCAGCGAGGCATCTGCAGTACCTCGCTGTCTCTTTCTGAGTTGGACTCCGTGTCGCTGGCTCCATTGATGGCACCACGGTGAGGTGGTGTTGCTGGAGAGCTTGAACGAGGCAAGGCAATCATCGTTCCGTCTTCGCTTACCTGAGACTTCTCCGTAATCTTATCAATTCCTGAAACAACATGAGCTGTTACTTCCTGGATGCCTGACTGGAAATCTGTGGCCTGACTTGAAAATGGAAGTTCTCCATCAAACCTGACTAGTAGTTTGAAGAATTTTGGAAACAAGAGGGTACAAACATTTCAGTAGATTTGTAAAGTTTGTAGAAGACATACAACAACGGCCTTCAAGATGTGATTGCAGAGTTTCTAAATAACCACAGGGGCTCTAAATACAAATGCAAGCCACACTTTTCAGACACGCACAAAAAAAGTTCAAAACCCATGTCTCACTAATCTTCCAACGTTCACTTTAATTTGTTGCTTCTAGTGCTCTAAATTACCTCTTTTTGTTCATATTACTTTAAAATTTGTCCATTCTTTCACAACATCTTTCAGTTGGCTTGGTCACATTTTAATTTACACTTTTATGGTTGGTTTATAATTTTGTTCTTTTCAGATTACAGGTCCCAGCGTGGCAGTTTTTAGCTTTCTATTATAAATTTATTTGGTGTTTTTTTGTTTTTAAATAAATTTCTGTCACTAGAGATTTTCTTGGGTTATTTATTTTTTTTACCATTTTATTTCACATTCTTATTTGTCAAAGTTGCAAAAAAAATAAATAAATAATATTTTTAGAACTTATTATCTATTTCTTCTTGGTAGTTTCTTCCCCACCTGGAGTGGCCTCTAAGGTGGCTTTGAGTGTCCCGGGCTCAGCAGGTGCAGCAGGTCTGGAACCCTCCATGGACTCGCCATCTGTGGAGTTTAGGCGGGAGATCCCAGACTTGTTCTTCTTCTTCTGCAAAGTTTTCTGAATGGATGCCTCATCCGTGGGCAGGTTGGCTAGCTGGTGGAAAACGTTCCTCTTACGAATGATGGCATACACTAGGTTGAAGTTGCCTGTGGGGAAGGTTCAAGACATCAAAATGTTGCCCTAAATGCAGCTGCACTCACAAGATCCCATTGTTGTTCTAACCATCAAACTGATACTGGATGATGTTGTTGAAGACCTCCAGCAGGAAGAAGACCAGGTTGTGGTTCTGAGGTGCAGATAGGAGGTACCAGGGCGTGGAGAAGGCCTCCAGCAGGTGGAGCAGCTTGTTGGCAGCCACCATTGACAGGCTCTTTAGGTAGGGTGAAACTACAGAGGTAGAAAATGTGCTTACATCAACTCTCCACCAAGGGGCAGCATTGTCTACAGGCATACTTACTGTTTACAATTATGGTGAGCAGGCAATCAAACAGAGGATGGAGACGCTGGTGTCCACAGGTAATTATTTTGTGAAAAATCTAAACAAGAAGGGACATAAATATGACTCTTGGTACTATTGAGAGCATATTATAATCTAAAGCTGAAACATACAAAAAAATTATAATAATTTGTAGAATCTGCCAGTTTGTGTGCAGCTTCAGTGAGCTTTTCAGATTTGAAAAGAAAACCAACCTTTGAACCAACCTTTCTTAAATTTTCTGTTTTAATGTTGTGAAATATTTGTAAAGCACAGGTTAAGCTTTAGCAGGTTGACAATCTCTTAGTCGAGTAAAGTAGGTCTCTCACCACTATGAGCAGGTCTGCGTGGGTTCCTGTAAAGACAGGAATGTCCATGGGGACACGGAGCGTGTACGGTTTATTCAGTCGAACACCAAAGTTCCTCTCTCCGCTCAGCAGCAGCAGGATGAACACGCCAATGTGCATGAGGCCCACGCGAGCTGCACATGCACACAAACATGAAGAGTTTTTAGAAGTTTGTGCGGTTTACCCTTGCCTCAATGTCTGTGTACAGGGATGTATTTTTTTTGTTTTTGTTTTTTTTTGCTCAGATGTCACAGAAAGTGTCTCACACTGATCTGCTCTGGCATCGTTCAGGTAGAACAGGATGGGAACCAGCATCTCCAAGACGTCGCTGCTCTTTAGGACGAAGAACAGGAATTTCTGCAACATGCAGAAACAGTCATGTTAGTGAGTTAAAGACAGGTGCTCTGTTAGTGTAACTTTTTATCCCTTTAACCTAAGAAAAGTGAAAAGATCGCAATTTAAAAATGCAAGGAGCCTCTCACTTTGTTAAAATCGCAGAACTTCCAGAACAGAATTAGCAGCTCCTGGTGGAAGTGGATCTTCTTGGTGGATCGTGGAAGGTACGTCTGGATCAGAGGGTTGTTGAGCAGCTGAGCAAAACCTCGGAGGACGAAACTCAAATCCTGTTGAACCAATACAGAGAATATGCTAAAGCTTCCAATCAGAAATCTTCTATCTGTGGATGAAACTGAAGGTTTACAGTTTGGTACCTCCTCCCTGTGAATCCTCGAGAGGTAATTCACAAAGAGGTTGTCAGGTCCAGCTGGCTGTATATTAAAAAAAAAAATACAGGTGTATTAAAAAATTTGAATTCTTCATTTTAACCTATGCACTTATTAACAGGATTTTCTGTTGACTTATGTTAAAGGTTTTGAGAGACTGACAATAGACTTACAGAAATAGGTAGAACTAAAATTAAATTAGTTAAGTCATAATCTTCTTTTTTTTAGCTGTGTTGATTCTTCTTTAGTGTTACTTTTGACATGCTTCTTTCACATTGTTTGCTGTATAGTTTAGAGTGTAACTTTTTCCAGCAAAATGGCAACAATAACATTTATCCATCATACCTCTAGCTCCTCAGATGGATTGGATGAGGAGGAGTCCAGCGCCTGGAGGGCAGCGCTCACAGCCGACCCGGTCTCGTGCTCCAGGGTGACGATCAGGACCTGCAGAGCCTGCTCCACCAGCTGCTCTCGGTAGTCTGAGAACAGCAGATGGTTGTACGGGATACCGTATCCCACCGGGTCGTAGGAACAGACCACGTTCAACAGGGATGTGAAGAGCGGCAAGGCATGTCTGAAGCAATGGCACACAGATAATCCTGGTGTTTACAACAGAGCATCTATAAACTGAAGAGATTCAGAGGTGGAAACTGTAAATAATACAAAACCAAGATAAGTTGTTTTTGGATACAGGAGAAAAACGGTGAAGGTTCTGGAGTGGAAATCTCAGCCTCTGGACCTTAACATTATTGAGCCAATTTGGGGATATCTTAAATGTGCAGTTCATGCAAGAAAAGCTAAGAATATAAAGGAACTTGAAGGAGATTTTCCAAGAGGAATTGAAAGTTCTTTGCATTTTTACACTTTAAGCCGCTAACTGTTTTCACTGCACCTGCAATAACAATCCACTAGGACAAAATAAACGAAAGCAATCAGATTTCTTCTGGACTGCAGTCACATAAAACAAATGGTAAATGCTCCAAAAGCACATATTTACACATAGAATATCTTGATGTGGCTTTTTTGAGCCATGCCAACCTGTTTTCTGCAGAACAGAAGAAGGAGACCCAGGGGTTAAGCACTTGGGTCTCAGATGAAGGAGAAAGATACATGGCTTCAGAGAAGCAAGTGAGAAGCAGCTTCAGCAGCTCTGTCCTGAAAACACACAACGAATCTACCATCAAAACAGCAGTCAGAAAAATTACAAAGTGGGGAAAAAAGCAATATTAATTAAATAACACGTTACTAAACTCACTAAATCCCTGTAGTGCTGAGCAATGTAGCACATTTATATTAAAGCAATCAGTTTAACGGTTAAGGACTGTTAATATTCTTTAAACTGATTTCTTACGAATTGCCTTATTAGCTTATTACTGACTGTGTGGGTTCATCTTACCCAAATTATCACAAAGCAAAATGTTAATGCCTTATTTTCCCCCATCTTTGAAGTAAAAAATGTCCATCACCTTTTTAGGATAGCAGCTAAACAGATAAAATGTAGCTTGCAGTCTCACCTGTTCCGGTCATGGATGTAATTCGGGGGAGGCGACTGAGCAAAGCCCACCCCGGCCTCCCAGATGTACTCACAGCTATCTATGGATCGCATTTCCTCTGAGGCATCCTGAAGCAAAACAAGAGTTTTAAAAAAATTATAGTTTGAGATATATAATATGTGGAAGACTATTCTCTAACAAACGTACAGTGTTATTTGTGACATCTAGTAACAAACCAGATTTGATCACTGAGAAGAGAAAATCTGTCATTGGGATTAGAGACATATTATTTGGCAAAAGTGCTGTTATGATAATTAATTGTGGTATTATCTTTCTGTCATACTCAGTCATAATGTGAAACTGTGCTACAAACCAGCATAGAGCACGTCATGGAATATTTCTTATTGTTTAAAGGGAAAAAATAATGAAGGTCTAAGAAGGTTCTGCATTTGGACACTTGGTCCATGTTAATCAGCAAGCAGAATGAGCCGATTACACTCTGCTGACATTATCTGGCTTTGACACCTCGGCACAGATAACTGCAGCTTTAAGAATAGAAGTGATGAGGTGTTTCTGTAAGTTATCTGACAAAAGGGCACACAGCCGCACGCTGCATTAAACTTCTCCAGTGGCACAACAGAAACAGAAACTGCTATGCCACCATTATGCTCTCCAATAAGTGAAACCTAAAAAAACAAATAAGTTCATTTATACCAAAAACAAACAAAAAAAAAAGGCAACAACCTGACACATGACCTGGGAGATGCATGATCCAACAATTTAGTTGATTCAGTTCATTTAGACGTTCAAAATGGCAACATTTAAGCTAACATAACTCTAAAGGAACTGCCTTGTTGGAGTTAAATTCTCATTTATTTTCAGTGAAAATATGAATTCAACACTTAACCAACTCAAACCACAATTTTTTTATATAGGCGTCATTTGTTTCCCACTTCCTTCCATGTTGAATCCATCAACAAAACATTTTCCACTCCAATTGCATATCAGTTTATTTCCTTTGATGGTTTAGTCTTATTGATAAATAATACAGATAAATAATCACAACAAGGTAAACTTTTGACCAAAAGTGTGTATGTAGTGTTATTGTAATTTTAAGACTTAATATTAGACTGTTTTTTATACCGATAGTGGTTCTGATCCCCCACACAGTCCAGCTGACTCTTATAAAATGACACCTCCTTCTGCTGGTGGATAACATTGTTCATGGACCCTGAGGTACTGGACAGAAGCTGGCTAAAAAAAGGTGACCAAAGTCCAAGCCAAATGCTTAAACACTTGGCTTGAATTCCTTGAGAAATCTTGACCAAGGTCACTTTTCAAGAAATTAGAGGAGGGTTTGAACACTGGAAGGTAAATAAGACAATGAATTCAATTTAAGTAGTGTTTTGTTTTTTTGTTTTTCAGAAAAAAAAAACACTGACCTCCAGGTGAACAAACACTGACAGAAAAGTGAAAACTTTATTTGCTCCCCACAGCTTCCTTCCAGCTATTCTTCATGCTTGGTTAACCATAGAGGCAGGTGGGAATAAACACTGACCACTTCCTCTGATGGCAGCACAGATCACCTCCCCAGTCTCTAAAATGTTTGCAGAGCTCAGTTAAGACGTGTCCACCCAGCTCAAATACGGCCACTCCAGCCTGCCTCCCCCTGCACCATGGAGTCACTCATTAACTCCAGCAAACCGCCTCAGAGGGCTGCATGAAGGAGATAACGGCACAGACTTGTACCACAGGAAGGTTAAGAAAACAAGACCTGAAACCTTTCATTAGAGAAAACGCTGGCTAGCTCTGTTTGCCTGCCTGTTATAGGAATGATGTCCTTTAAGTAATTACCAAGGAGTTTAGGACAACATGTGTGAGATCATTTTATTTCTGTGTGTGCAAGTTAAATGTTAAATTTGTCCATCACACCGGTTTGGAGCAATAGACGTACCAGCCTTAGTTGGACACAGCACAGTAAAACACTTAATGTTACCAAGGACTTAAGAGAATGTTCAACTCTGCCTTAATCTGTAATGACCGGCTATAAATGTTCTTCTTTCAACTCACTGACCGGGTTGTTCTTCTTGTGACTCTGGACGGTAAAATCTGGACAGAAGAGCAGGTCAGCGACGGTGAGCAGCAAGGATTCAGCCAGCGGCCGAGCTTCATTCTCATCAGCATCTTCGTCCAAACTCTGCAACACGAATGCATCACTCGAAAACAAGTCTCGCAGGTTTTTATAAAGACATAAACCAAGAAGTGTGCTGGTGACTGAACGATTTTCATCTTTTTTCCCTCTGACTGGTCAGAAACTAAAGAATTGTTCGTTTTTCTGATCAGTGAATGCGCCATACTCAAGACAACATCATTCTTTGGCGTGGTTGTGTTTGCAGAGTGAAGAGGATTCAGTTGTATCAGACAAAAAAAAGAAGCTTGCAACATCCTGTGAACTCTCAGTTACCACATACTAAGTATGAGGATTCTAAGCAACACTGCTTTTGAAATCCAATATGGCTGCCATAAATGTTGGTGACAGCTGCAGTGATGAACTGCTGCACTGCTGCTGATCCCAAGCACACAGCAATGTACAAACTATAAGTGAGCTCATTGCTATCATGTTTAAACACATAAAATACAGATAAATGCACTGTTTAGTTTTTATTGCTAATATCAGTAAGCCTTATCATCGAGTACAGCAACAAGCAAATCCTACAGGTTAATCCAATGAGAACTACTTAGAAAAAAAAAGAATAATTAGGAATATTTGTAACAAAAAATAATTAATCTATATATGGTTTACTGACTAATTAAAGAATATTTTACTCTAGCTCATCTTTTACTCCTTGTATTTACAGATCTCCATCCCAAAATGTAGTTTCACACTCGCCAGGCAAACATTTAATTTAACGTTCGATTGGTTCGATGCAGAAATAAAGACGTTTTCTGCATAACTGAATTGATTGCAAAGAGGCCATCAGCCTTTTCCGCCTGCAGCAGCCCTTCTTCTCCTCAGTACCATACTTTCATTAACAGACATTCAATCCCTCCTTAACTCAACCGTTGGCGGGTAGACGGTGGGAGATACAATATGGGCAGTGTTTGCACCATGGTCCCCAGTCGACCAGGTAACCAGAGACTCAGCAGCAGGTGGGCAGGGTGGGAGAGGAGGAGAGGAGCGAGAGTCCAGCTTTGGATGGAGACCTTTGCATCGACAGCAGCAGTGGTTTTATCTTACACTGCAAGATCTGCTCTGAAAATCAAAGAGCAGCATCTTTTCTAGCCAGGCCAGATTATTGTAGCTGAAGCTATCAAAGGGCTACAAACTGTGTGATGGAAGGATAGCTAATAGGTTGAACACTCCTGTCTGCAGACAGAATGGATTTCTCCGGCAGCAGCTTCCACAGATTACATACCAAGAATAAACCATATCCACCTACGTAACTTGAAAATATCTTTGCAAGTAAAAAAAAAAAAGAAGATGTATTTAAGATTATTAAAGCTAAAATATCCAGAAAATGTCATTTAGCTCTTCCTTCAACTTGAGTATAACTGATAAACCTTTAAAGAGTAAAAAGAAAGATAAACTGTCAGAGTGTCAGCTCCCTCAGGCGACGCGTCGTACCCCGGATTTTTTCGTGCCAGGAATGGTGGACCAGAAGAAGCCCCTCCAGTCAGCATCCTCAAAAATGTACGGCAGGATCCGGGTGAGAAGGCGGGTGCAGTTCAGCACGATCTGACGCTCCTTCTCCGAGGGGCAGCCAGAGTCGGCACATTGAACCAGCCGCTCCACTGCCTGGAAACAAGCCACGTCAAACATGTAAATTAAGCTATAAAGATCTCTATTGGAAGAGTTACATTAAGTCATTTTTATTAAAAAGATGGCAAAACATTTAGATTACTGATTGTAACAGAAACTATAAAAAAAGAGGATATGAATGCAATTTTGACCTAATATATGTTAATGGATTCTTCAAAACAAGCTAAGATTTGAAGAAAAAAACAAAAACAGCAAAAATTGGCTTCTTAGATCGTTATCTGTATTTTTCTAATTTTATTGATAACTTGTTTTGTTGATTAACGAGTGGTTTCTCCTCCTCCCATCTATTTTTTTTTCTCTTTTAGACTGACCTCTTGTACTCCAAGTGTGGGAATAACAAACATCTGCATTCCTTTGTTTCTGACTGTATCCAGCATGAACAATACAAGCGGTCATGTAAAACACAGGAATCCTTGCTGTCTGTAGGAACTACGGTAACTTGTAAACCAACTCTCTGTGTTTTAGTGACCAATTCATTCATTACAAAACTCAATGCATTATTTTCAGTCTGAGTCTCTGAGAAGACAGAGAAGATTTTCATTTTATTGCAGATTTAGATCAAGTAAATATCTAAATCTGTAGACATCATCCTTCAGCCTCAGCCAGCGGTCAAATATTTCAGTGGGAAGATCAGATTAGAGGTTGGATGATTAACAAGGGAGAGTTGGCTGCAATGTCTGTAGGCGTGATCATGCAAAAGGGACATCATATTCACAACAAACCAACTAAGCTATTGGTTTTAACCCTTTTGTTACTGTTACCTTCTTAAAAAAAAACATAAAAAATGACATGCATTGTAATTAGAAATACAGTAGTTTCACTTTTAGTGGTACAGACTCCTAAATTAGAGTGCTTGTCCAATAGAATGCATTTCTCATCTTGCATGGTTACTGGCATCCCCTTGATAAAAAATGTTAAGAAATGTTCAAATTAATCACTATCAAAACTTGGTAACCACAAGGTTGTTAGTTTTTGCAGCAGAGTTCCAGCAGCAAGTTTTAGAAATGTTTCTACTTCCTGTAAGTTTTTCACTTTGTATGTTGAGAATATGAATTTTTGCTCTCATTAAACCTTGTTTGTCACAGTTGGAGGTGTTTTAAACATTTTAAATTATAATTTTACAAAGTAAAAAAATAGGTATTAAGTATTTTCAGGAAGTAATTTTTTGACTTCTGAAGATTAACAGTGAAAGGACCACTTGTCTTTCCCATTTTGAAGAAAGAAACCAATTCCATTAAATGTTTGAGGAACAGAAATGCACTTAAATCTAACCATGTGATATTACTAAAGATGATCTAAATAAGACACTCATTCTGAGGAGGCCAGGTTACCTTGTAGCACAGGGTTGCTAGGTTGGATGGAGACTCCTCTCTGACAGCTCGGATTTCTGCTGCAGGCACCAGAGCAAAAACATCCTGGACGGCGATGGAGCACTCGGCCCAGAACTGGTCCCAGAACACGTTGTCTGTGGCTTCAACAGGCTGCAGTACAGGAAACTTTGTAAAGTCTTTGTGTACCCAAGTTTTCATTTTCATAAAAATGCTCAACAGCTATGCAGCACCAATCGTGTAGACATGTTATACACATAACTGCTACCATTAAATAAAAACACACGTATAAACCCAGCTAGACTGAAGTAATTTTCACTCAGCTAAGAAGTTTATTTCTGACAAAATATTCGAAAAGTCCTGCTATGTTGCAGCAATAATATATATATATATATATATATATATATTCTTAGAATTCATGACCAAGCATGTTTTCACTGGTACTTTAATGATTTAATTTGTTATTGAAGAGTCAGAGGTTTATTTTATACTTTTTATGTATGACTGGGATAATTTCTAGGTGAAATGTTTAGTAAATGTGCAAAAACCAGATGATAAATAAACTTTAACAGATAATAGCAGTTGGGATGATCTCAAATGATTTTTTTTCATGAAATAAAGACCAAAACGTTGATATTTTTTTTTCTTTTTCTGAGGTTTCGATTCTACCTTAAAATAAGAAATGGTCAAGGTACAATTTCTGTAGGCCTTAGCTAATCCAGCCTTCAGGCAAACACATTTTTCATATAGTAAAGTAGCATTAAACAAATGATGCAAAACTGGCAGAATGATGGTTTTTCTTCCGCAAAACAGTGCAAATAATAAAATCATAATTGCTCCTCGTCTTAACTTCCTATCCTTATTTCAAATCTATAAGTGTAGTTACTAACGGTTTGTTTCCACTCCACTTGTGATAATAAGACCTGCACCTGACGCTACCATCTGGCACACCAACTTTTATCGTCGTAAGCAAATATCGTTCAGAATCACGTTTTTTTTTTTCCCTTGCGCGTTCAAGAGCTTTATTATGAAGAAAACAGAAACAGACCTGAATTTTGGTCGTCAGCTGGATCACCGCTTTCCTAAAGTGAAGCTTAGTGTCAGCGTTTCCCATTTTTTCTGTGTCCAACAGCCGCGTCCTCCTACCTGCGGATTCTGCTGATAATTTCTCCTCATCTCAACTCAGAGCGCAGCGCAGCTGGTGCGTTCATGAAAACTCGAATTTTACAAGTCCGTGTAAAATTGTAAAAGGGAAGACAAGAAACTATACTGGTAAATAGGCTAACCTACCTGTGTTAAGACAAATATTAGAAGTTTGCAAATACAAAAATATTTAGGATATAATTTTGACAGGAAAAACTATAATCTTATTATCTACGGAAATTAAAACAACATAAATTTAAAAAAGACAAAAACCAAGAAAACAAACGATTTTTAACCAGAAAAGGGACATGAGTTTTGTGTTGAGAGAATATTTCTTTCTCATAAATAAAAGCCGTACATAATTAAAGATTTTAATTGAAGTAAAAACTAACATGCAAATCAATATCGGCCACGTTCTCAAAAGAAATCTAAACTACAAATAGAAATATAGTTTAACCATAAAGTATAAGTAGACTAAATAAAAATATAATTAAATATGAAAATAATGTATAATAAATAATACAAATAATACAAAAACAGATAGAAAATGCCTGAGCTAAATAACAAAACACTTATATCAAAAGTAATGTTATTGCTTCTAAATATAATAATTGAATTGATAATAAACCGCCGTTGCTGGCAAACCTAAATCAAATATTATTTTGTTGGAATAATTCTGACTGTCCCTGAAAGCAGCACATGCTGAGCAGGATCCAGATGAGCAAACTTCCGGGATCCTTCATGCACATATTTATCTTCCCGTGTTACCATGTGACTCTCCTGGTAAACTCTCTACATATAAGATTCACGTCATGATGACCTATATAATCACTGTCTGCACGATCATCTCTGAATGTAACGTTACAAAGAGAGACTTTTTTTCCTCTCCTTGTCTGTTCAACTGCAGGTGAATACATTTATGAAGTGGCCACTAGATGGAACCATAAGTTCACAAAGCAGAACAGCCGGTAAAGGTAATCAGCAATGAATAAAACCACTGATGTCCAGCCCCCTATAATTGACGTATTTATGACGTTGTTATGTTTTCATGACTTAAAGCACTTTGAACTGCATTGCTGCTGAAATGTGCTATATAAACTTGATAGATTGACATTATAACCTACAAGTTCTGACTTTTGAACCATAACTACAACAATACACTTTGGTTTAGCAATACACTTTATGTGTTGAAGTAACTATTGTATGTTTAATACAAGCACAAATTCTATCAAAAGGGAGTAAGTAAATATTTCCCAGGCTTTTCTAAAACAACACAGACACCTAATCAATTTGCAATTAAAATTGTTAAATTGTTCAGTAAATTTTGACCAGTTTCCATGTCCCTGCTGAAGAAAAGCTTTGTCGCAGCATGACGCTGCCACTACCATGTTTTGTCATGAGATTGGTGTTGTGTAATCCACCACACATAGCGTTTTTATTGTCAACCAAAAGGGTTAATTTTAGTCACATCTGATCAGATGACCTTCTTCCACATGTTGGCTGTGTCCCTCTGTATGGCTTATAGGATGCTGCAAATTTGACTTTCTGCAGACTGCATTAATATTTGTCATATAATTATTAATAATTATGATGAATTATTTATACAATTTTCTTTAGTTGAATTGGTGCACCTTCCCTAAGCTTGATGAAGGAATGAATGTAAGGCTACCGGACAGCAGAAAACTCCTCACACAACAAGGAATGATCAGAAACAGGCTTGTCTTCAATTAAGTCCGAGAATTTACAAAGTAGCCCACCTTTACAGTCAAAATATTCCATCAGTAACTTCTACCTCCAGCTACCTACATGCAATCTATGAAGGAAAAGACTTGAATAAGTAAAGGATCAAATTAATGAAAAAAAAAAAAAAACAAGCAAAATGGAATACTTAAACATAACTTCAACTGATTAACTACCGTAATTAAATACAAGAAGGAAAGAAAGATCAGCATGAACTACAATGCAGCTAAATCACAGATCAATGTGACCTCCTATGACTTTTACGGCGGAAGGTGAGTTTTAGCAATTAATTAAGGAATGCGGTCTGATCAGTTTATGCGACTAAATGGATGCCCAGAAGGACTAAGTTCATCACTAAACTGTTAGATTAAATCAGCTAAACTGTGGATCTATGTAGCTTCACCAGCATCCCCACGTCCTTTCTTGCTCCTTTTATGATTAGAGTGGGAGGCGGTGTTCTAGCTGGTTTGGCGCCCTGGGAAAACATCCCAAGCATTGCTCCATTCCATTCCATTCCATTCCCCTCGCAGGCGGAAATTGTTGATGAGGGATGGGCAGGTGGTTAACTGGAGGACCAAAGAGGACAGGGGTGTCTCATGCCGCCCCCACAAGATGTCGCCCATATCAGAAAACACCACTGATTAAAGGATTAAAGTACTGTTTTTATCTGGCCTACCATGTCTTGGTAGGTTTCTAGTTGTGTAACACTCATTACATTTTCATTTGATGGAGTGAACAGCACTTTTAGGGTTGGTTTATTACCCAGCTATGTTTTAAACTTCTCCATAGCTTCATCCCTGATCTGTCTGCTGCATTCTATAGTCTACATGATGCTGTTTGTTCACCAATATTCTCTAAAAACCCTCTGAGGCCTTCAAATAAAGTCTGTATTTTGAATGAGGTACAGTGGTTACTTTTTATTTATAAGCCTCAAGGGTAAAAGGGAATTGAGAAAAACGCTGGACACACCTTTCAGCGTTTTATTTTTTTTAAATATGTTGAAAACAATTTTTTTTTCTTAGCTTAACAAAGCAGGGCTAGTTTAATAAGATATATTCATCAGTCCCTCTCTGACTGTAATCTGTGTCAGTGGACAGATAGTACACATTCATTGTAGAAGACCAAAACTATATATTTCTAATATCATTACATTAGTGATAATGTAATGATATTACATTATCATTACATTATGATGATAATGTAATGATCATCATTACATTATGATGATCATAATAACTGTAGTTATTTTGGGTAACAACAGTTACCCAAAATACAGTTATTTTGGGTAACTGTAGTAGTCACAGTTACCCAACATATTGTTTGTACATTGCGTAGAAACCTACATTCAGTAGACTAAAGATATCTAAATGAATAAAATCCTACTTTGTGGTTTCCTAATTACCAACCTATTTTCATAGAACCCGTAATTCGTTTAGTCATTTAAACAGGTGCTGGATTGTTTCGGTCATATTGAGAAGAAACTATGTGGGTGACCTCTGGTGACTCATTCAAAAACCTTGTACACTGTGATTTCTTCACTACATAATCTAATGGGCCAGCCAGCTGTTTAACAGCTGTCAGCCAATCAGAGTTCAGTCTCTTTCAGGCATAAAACAGAGAAAACCAAAGCCCCACACAAAACCTCCTGCAAGAACACACATGCAGAGCCCGTTTGGATTTCACCCACTGCACTCGAGAACCATGATAAACACAAGGAGTCCGGGGGTTTTCTTAAGCTTGCTGATAGCTCTTTCTTTAGCTGAAGTGGTAAGGACATTTTTATTTCATCTGAAGTCAAATTTTACTTACTTTTTTCTGTATTGACTGATTGAAAAATATTTTCAGGGCCATTCGAGACATGGAAGAAGAAGAAGTAACATTGCTGCTTCCCTGCCTTCCTCTGATAATTTCAGTAAATAGATCCTTTATTAAGATTTCTTGATTTTGTTTCCTGAGTATTAAATGTGTCATTTCATCTTGCAGGTACTTTCTGTCTCAACGGTGGCCTGTCTGTCCCTTCATTGATCACTGGTGCACCCTTGTTTTGTAAGTGTCCTGATGGGCTTTCTGGGAGACGCTGTGAAATAGGTGAGAAGCTGATTTTTCAAGCTAAACTTCAGTGACGCCAGTTCACATTTTAATCACTTGTGTCTGTAGCTGTAGAGAAAGGTGACAGCTGCTATGAAGGGATCGGAGTACTCTACAGAGGGACTGTTTCAAAATCAGTCAGCGGAAAAACATGCGAGATCTGGGATTTACATGCCAGGAGGCGTTACCTGTCCTCAGACCTTCACTCTGGACGACACAACTACTGCAGGTGGTCTATGGCTTGAATGTTAAACATCTGTCTCTGTTCTCATACCAATTGCAAAACAAGGAAATTGTGTGTTACAGATCTTTGTCATGCAATTAGTCATACTTCTAACAAAACGGAGGGATTGTCATGATTCACTGAATCACTTTTGGTAGAATATAGGTCAAACACAGCAGTTTATCTGCATGTATGTTGTTGCTTACCTGGCCTTACTTGCAACATTTAATGTTTTAGATCAGTTCGCATATTTAGCGCAAATTAATGATACATGTCATGTCAACAAGACACCTCACAACAGTATATGTCGTACCCAGAAATATACTGTTTGATTTAATAAAATGAATGCGATCCAATGATATAGATTTAAATTCGGTTATAGACGTTCCACTTTGGTTCCTATATAATAATACAGTGCAAATCAGTTGTGTTTGTCATGCCTGGTGGTAAAAAGGTTATCTATCTTTGGAAGGTAGGTCAATTGCAGTCAAACGATATGAATTTGCAGCAATCCCTTCTCTTGAGCAAGTGTCAGGTGAGAGTGGATGTTTGGATTAGGCTTTCTGGCTTAATATATTTGTATATATCACCATATACCTGATTAATATGTCTGTGTACCATCACCGCAATACTGGAACACAATTTTATCAAGTAGAGGCATGTATAATTTGGAGAATTTCCCGTGATCCACATACCTCACTGGGATTAGTGTTGACATGAATAAACTGGAATTTGTCAGGCAAAAATGATCTAAACCAGCCAAGTGCCTTAATCCAGGAGCCATATGACAAATTCAATAAGAAGATCTTCCTGAGAAGATCTTGGCATCCAAATACCTACTGAGGATGCATGCCTTTTCCACGGGGTCTTTACAGTCAAACTGTCAATTTTAAGCCAAAGATATTTATTGTTTGTTGGTTCTTGACATTGTTTTTCTTTCAGAAATATTCAGTACAGACTACGCCCATGGTGTAACGTTCGAAAAAACCACCAGCTGGTCCGGGAATATTGTGATATCCCCCAATGTGACGTTGAATCCTGTAAGTATGTTCTTCCTGAAAGGATTTTTTTTTTTATTCACATGCCTCAGATTTGATGTAGGTCTTGAATCTCTTAGACAAGTTCAGATCTTTTCTCTTTTTTTTCCTAAGAAAAATTTGGAAAATATCTTAATAAATTAGGAATGTTTCAGGCACACAAGGTGCATGCTCCAAAGGTTTGAAAAAATAATTATTTTCAATCTTACAGCTTCACCTGCACCTTCAACTTCAACTTCACCCATCATGCCACAAGCATGTAAGCTCCTAATGCAAATGTTTTTTCTGTTTTTTTGTTCCTGGTCATGTATATGTTTTCCAACAACAGTTTTGAATTTGGCTTCTTTTCCAGCTGCAGACCTGACATGTGGTCAGCGGACTATACGGAAGCAGACAAAGATTGTGGGTGGAACAGTTTCTACTGTGGAATCTCACCCATGGATCGCTGCTATATTCTGGCGTAGCAAATCGAAGCAGAATGTTTTCCGCTGCGGGGGCAGTCTGATATCTGCCTGTTGGGTCATCACGGCTGCCCACTGCTTCCCTGAAGGGTAGGACATTATGTCAATTACTGTAAACAGAGCCGGTGCTAAGAAATGACAGATTTTTCTGTTGTATGTTCGTGCTTTAGCTCTCAGACGAGGCATCAACGCTTGTCTGTCACGCTGGGAAAAAATGCACTCAACGAGAGTGACTCAACTGTGGAGCAAACTTTCAGAGTGGAGCAAATCTTCATCCATGAACAATTCAACCACAGTGAACAAAACTATAACAATGACATTGGTATGAAAGGATCTATTTGCTACAAAGACCTCCTAAAGAAAAACAGCCAATAACATAAATTCTTACTTACCTAAAGAAAGCTTACCAGCTTAAATAGAACAAACTGTGTCCTTTTTGTGCTGATTTCCCTCAGCTTTGCTGAAGTTGAAGGCCATGTATGGAAAGTGTGCTGAAGAGACTAACTCGGTAAAGACTGTCTGCCTCCCACCGCCTCTGAAGAGCCTCCCGCCAGGGACCACCTGTGAGATTGCTGGATATGGGAAGGAGAAATTTGGTGAAGAAAGTTTGATATACCTTGTTCTTGTTCATGTAAAGACTAAGTATTGTGAGGCTGTCAGAACAGCCATGGAAAAACAATGTTTGCTTTTTCTACTTGAAAAGTCAATCAGCACTTGATTGGTTGGTCATCATGAGTCCAATCGCCTCTATAACATGCGGTCATTCTCATCAGTTTTACTTATTTGGTCCATCACGCCAAGATCGAAAACCATCTAAACAAGACATTTTTGTTGTGCATCAATTTGGGAAGGGATATTAATTTAATTACCAAACTATTTTAATGCCATAATTCTGGAGAATCCATATAACACAAGTGGACAACATTTAACACAGCTGCCAATCATCTCTAGAGAAAGAGTCCCCAAAAACGTTCACACCAAATGTTCACACCCAGCAATTCTCAGGAACATTTCTTAAACCCAACATCACCGCCTCTGACTCTCATGCAACAGCATATCTAAAGAAGCAGAAAGAATCAAGGTGTCACAATGGCCCAGTCAAAGTCCAGACCTCAACCTGATTTAAATTATTGAAAATACTGAAACCTTGCGAAAGCTGTCCAAACATCTTCATTAAAGATTTCATGGATAGCTTTGGACAGTCATAGTGTGACCTCAGGAACATTTTTTTTTTTAAAAAAGCACTTGCGTCCGTGAATTAACTTAATATTTTTTAATAGATTGTGTTGACAGTCATGGAAATGCTATTTTTTGCATGGCTGCATGTTAAAACAAAGAAATAAGATTGATGTACTGTTGTAAAAATATACCGTTTTTATTGTGCAATGTCTTATCTGTTCCTTTCCTTTGCAGGGTTATGGTACAACTCTCAGTTCCTCAGGAAGGCTCAGGTGAACCTCCTCGCTGATGATGTGTGTCGACAGAAGGATTATTATGGAGAAATGGTCAACAACAACATGTTTTGTGCTGCACGTCCCGACTGGAGCCAGGACGCCTGTGAGGTATTTAAGCATGTCAATACCTGACTCGAGAATTTCTCCCACACATGATGTTTGTTCCCATTAAAGCTGTCTGCCTCCCTCTGACAGGGTGACTCGGGAGGACCGCTGGTCTGCGAAGTCGACAACACGCTCTTCCTCTTTGGCATTGTTAGCTGGGGAGACGGATGTGCAAAGGAAAATAAACCTGGTGTTTACACCAGAGTTACCAATTACAACAAATGGATTGAAGAAAAGACAAGTCTGCCTACCATCACTACTGGAACCATGTTCCCTCAGAAATGATTTAAAGCTCAGGCCACCAGTTGTTTGGAGAATAACAAAGAAATTGTTATTGATAAGGCAAAATGACAACTGTTAGGGATTTCTGAGCTGTAAAACAACTTAAGCTGAACTACTTTATAAGCTTGACTGAAAGATATAGCAAATACCTTTACGTTTCTGTTTATATGAATCAGTTTTTATTCTTCCATCTAATCAGCAATTGTGCTAACTCAGTTCACTGAGTGTTGTTTTTCTCTGTCTTCAAGCAAAGACAGAGAAAAACAAAGCAAGAGCAAATTCTCTCCTGATATATGAAAAGCTACAAACAAACCTGTGATAAAATATGTTGGTGTAACTTCTAAACCTCTGCTGAGGAATAAAAGCTATGTATTTCTTTTTTCTTAATTGTGCCTGTAATTTTGTTTCATGGTATGACCTTTTTTTAAGCAAATACAGTTTTTACACTGATAATTTGCTGTTGTCTATGTCTGTAAATAAATCAGGGTACTGTAGCTTTAATAAAGTTGAATTGAAATGAATTGAGTTACTGCTTCTGTCCTCTTAAAAACAGAATGAAAGCAAAACATCTTCTTTAGTGTCTTCATCAAGGAATCAGTGTTTGTTATTTTAATGATTTGTTACACAACGTTGCCACCCTGTGGTCAAAACGAAGCATAACACGTCGTTAAAGACTGAACGTGATGGTGGCTTCACGTTAAGACGGTCGTCAGGACTTAAAGGGACAGCTGAATGCTGAGAGGTAAGAGAGGGGACTTTAGAACTTTAAAACTGAATCGAATACAACAAACATTTTTAAATCGAATGTCCATATTTGGACAAGAAGAATCATTTTAATTAATGATTCCTTTTTGTCTGAACCTTTTATTAATATGTTACTTCCAATTTGTACAATGCTTAGTTCAAAACACTGATAAATATATAAATAAATAACATCTACTAATAAAGGGATAGGTTATTTATTCAATAAAATATGAGAAAACAAAAAAAATAAATAAATCAAATCATCCTTCAGATTTTTCTGCAAAGTCATGGAATCCATCTGTGATAAATCACTTTAGATATCCTCAAACCTAAATAAACAAACTTCTCTGGTTTTCCTTCTCACTCACAATTAACGTCTGTGTCTTCTGTGGAATAAAGTCCAGTTCTCTGTGCAGCTAGTCTACATAGAGCTGACAGCAGTTAAATACATAGAGATTTTTCAAGGACATCTCCTGCAGGCTGGTCAAGAAATCAAATTAAATAGATCGATAGAAAGTTTTCTGTCTCAGAAGGCCAGCACATTGTGCAGGGTTTCCCTCAGAGTGTCATAAGCCTGGCGGGCCACCAGACTCTACTTGCCCCTCCCCCCCTTCAGGCTAAGCATAATTTGTTCATTTCTGAAATAATTTTCTCTACACCGGTAACAGTATTAAAGAGTCTCTTAGGTGAAATGGCTGGAAGCACAATGGCAAAATAGAATGTAATCATATAGGGAGGTGTATTTTTTTTATTATCCATCTTTATACACACCAACAACTTCAGCAAATAAAGTGGATGAAACAACTGAAGTACAAAAAATGTGTATTTATTTATTTTTCTTTTGCTAAGACTTTAAAGTTGATTTTTAGGTATTGTTAATAATGTCTTCCAATAGCATATATTTACTTCGTCATATTCTCAAATTTTCTGTCAACTTTAAAAATATGCAAGGCTGCTGGATGACGCCCCTGGTACCTCTACCACCGGACACAGCAAGTTATCTGGGGGGAAACCGTGTTATGTGATTCGATCAGCTTAATGCACTCTAGTGCAAGAGGGCAGTAGCAGTCGAGGGTCACAACACCCTTTGAGCCGAACCAGAACCAGGATCAGCATGAGGATCCATCAGCACATAGAAAATATGGAAAAGCAGTGGGATAAAACGTTCTACCTTCTTTGAATTGACAAGCAGAAAAATGGCGCCACAAGATGGTGCTAAAGTTGTAACAAAATACACACCAAATGCCAGGATGTAATGCAGTTTGAGCAGAAGCCCACAATAAGAAACAATTTTAATCCAGTTATTGAAAGAAACAAATACTAATATTGCAGTTGTTTTGTGTCAAATTAACAATTTCATGGCAAATATTTAAGCTACATCAGAAATTTTCTCAGAATTGTATTTTATGTCTGTTATACTCAAGTTATCCACAAGTTTGGTTGCTAGTTTAGTTTATGTCTGTTGCCAGGTGTAGCTGTTGTCACCTGTCTGTGCAGAATAGGTGGATACATTTCACATAAAGATATTTAATGTGTTCACACACTGTCATATTTACAAATTTTGCATCGTTTTATCTTGCTTTTGCCTGCCTGTTTTCTGTCAACTTTTTTTTTTTACATCCCTTCATGTCTTTTCTCTTTTAAAAGTATCTCATAATTTTGTCTCTTTGTGCATGGTTTTTCCTGTTTGTGCATTTTTTAATAATTTTATGGAGATCTCTTGTTTGTCTGGTTTTGTATTTTTCCATGTTTATTTTGCATCAGTTGTAATGCTTGTTTCTTCTGCTGTTTTGCTCTTCTAGTTATTTTCTCTATAGTTGTGGTGCTTGCAGAGGAGCCTAAAAGTTTCCATGAGAACAGAACAAGGACAGATGAACTCGTGACTCCTTGCTGATTTCTAGATGTTGCAAACAGGGACAGGCTGCCGCACCCACCCAACATAATCAGTTCATCCATTCAACATTTTAAAAAACCGTAGTAGTTTTCATGATTCATAATTTACTTTGGCATTATGATTCATTTGTGGTTAAACAAAGTTAATCCGACAGAGAAAGAACACATTGAAAACCAATATTCATCACCGGTAGTTTGACGGTTATCCAGACAAACACGTCTGGGTGACTACAGTCTAACTTTGTCACTGGATATTTTGGGTGGGACTCAGACTATTTTGTTCAGTTGCTCCCATCCTTTGGGCCAAATCTTTTTACCTCTACTTTCTTAAAATTGTAGAATTGTTGTTTCTAATGTTTTCCTTTCACAGTTTTTTTTTTTTACAACAAATACTCTCCCCACTTTTAAATTTTTACTCCATTTACATTCAACATAATAAAACAGCATTTTGTCCACTTTATTGACCTAATTTTTATTGCTTTATCTGTAATGTTTTGTTGCAAGATGTCCTTCAAGACCCCAATGATTAAAATACATTCTTGTCCTCAATTCTCACAGAAGTAACACTGGGAGTGACATTCCTTGTGCTGCAGTGCAGGACTACAGAAACACACCTTGCAGCAGATGAGGTGTGTCTAAGTGGGTGTGGCTTCAAGCGCGTCTCTAAACCAAGCTTGAATCTCTTTTCAGAGGACTTTCTGCCATCTCACGAGTGCCATATTACCTGAAGTAAGTGCTTTTATTTTGAAATATTTACTCTATTTTCTTTTATTGTATTCATCAAACACTAAATATGTTCTTGTGGTAATATCTGGTGGAGCTTTTTGTGGCTCTCTTTGAATAACTTTCTGTAATGTATGGTGTCCTGGCTGCTCTCTGCTTCAGCTTCTCATCTGAATTGTTTCCTTGTAGTCGTTCCTGAGCAGCCACCAACATGCCTGAGACTGCAGAGTCCCACTCCGTGACCCTCACCACCAACCGTAACTGCACCATGGAGATCACCAACGTCAGTACTATTTACTGCCTCGTCAATCCAAAGTAAGAGCCTCTGAAAGACGGCCAGTAGTTTCCCTCCAAGATCTGCATCTGAAATACAATCAAACTTTTGTTCATGGCTCAGTTAATCTGGAGGTCTCATTTCTTGGGTTTTTCAGCTGGGTTTTTTTTTGTTTGTTTTGTTTTTTGCAAGTTATTTTGCATATCTTTTTTGTTTCAACTGTCTGTTGACTTCCAAATCTGGTGTGTTTTCTCAGTTTTTCATATATTTGTGCATGTTAATTATTATTTGTATATATATTTTTTATATTATGAGAATTTAGGATTTACCTTTCATTTTTCATTTCCATCCTTTGCTGGATTTTATCTCCAGTTTTTGCCTTCTTTGTTATAATCTCACCAAGTTTAACTCCAATTTCTCTTTGAGGTGTCAGGGGCCACATTCCCAACTTAAATTGCTCCAATAGTTTTTCTATTACTCTTGATGAAATGGCTCATGAGATCCTTTCTATTCCTTGCAGGGTTCACATGGAAAGTGGCTTCCCATTCAGCCCCCCGCAGCCCACCGTGCGTACCACCAAGACAGAGGTGTGCTCCTTCACCAAGGACGACAACACAGCGTCCGGAGCCGTGGGCGTCCTGACCTACGAGCTGCTTAACATGCGTGACCACCGCTGCAGCGAGCTGATGGCCATCATGTTCTCTGTGCCATTCGACTACAACATCTACAAGAACTGGCTTGGTGTGGGCATCTTCGAGCACACGCGCGCCTGCGATGGCAAGCTGTTCGACACGATGTACAAGAGCAAGGATTACACCAACTTTTTGCGCCAAGAGGCCAATGGCTCCGGATTGGTCTTCCAGGGCAGGGATCTGGACGTGAGGGCCTGCATGTCTGATGTTGGAAAGGCGATCATCAAAGTAGAGCTGTATGACAAGATGGGCAGATGAACTGTTTGCAATGCTGTCAAAATGAACAGCTCACATCATCTGAAAGCATTATAGTTGACATTCCTGATTGTTGATTCCTGAGTGCTTTGAAAAAATAAAAGTAAAAATTAATCTAATCCACTTCTTGTCTACTTTGCTTTGTTGACAGTCCTTTCTTCTTTGACAAAAGATTTGATGAACAAATGCAAACTAATACATTAAAATCAGAAGCAGTGTGCAACACAGTCGTTTGACAGGATGACGGCAGCGCATTATGAGATGATCACCATGAAAAAAAAACAAAGTAAGACACAAAAGAAAAGGGTGTGGTATTCTCGTCTGAGAGGGAGTCACTGTGAGGCAAACTCAACAGTCTCATATCTTGGCAAGAAAATACAGTTATAACAAGAAAAACCACTTTCAGCTGCACCTATTTTCTATGTGCATCGTTAGAAATACCTGATTGATGAAGTTTGAGACAGGGCGGAACACAGTTGGGAATCTGCTGTGGGTGGAGACACTGTGGGTTGTCTCACATTCCCCAGTAAGATTTACCTGAGCACTAGAGTCTGGGATTCAAATACGGCACCGCACAAGTCCGCAACACACTAGTGGCACAGACAGGTAAGTCCTTTTTGCTTCTTGAACTTACTGAGAAGTTGTTTTTCTGGTCAGTGCATTGATTATTAGTAGCTGCATGTCTGTTTGATCTGTAGTTAAACACTTGAAAACAAAACAATGAGTGAATCAGCAGAGGCTGTGGCTGCCGCCCTCAAAAGCAGAAGAAATGTCACCATTGAGATCACCAACCTTAGCAACCAGTACTGCCTTATTAACCCCAAGTAAGTGCAAAATAGGTACAGTTGGCTTCCTACCCATAAAGTAAAAATAAAAAAAAAATACAAATCTGATTTTTTTTTTTATGACGTTTGTTTCTGCAAAGGGTTTTCTTAGACAGTGGCAACGTCCACAGCCCTCCCCAGCCCACTGTCCGCCCACAGAAGACAGAAGTCTGTAACTTCTCCAAAGACAGCGGAAAAGCGACAGGTGCTGTAGGAGTGCTGACCTATGAGCTGTTCGGCCGATCAACCAACAGTGCCAAAGAGATTATAGCAATAATGTTCTCTGTGCCATACGACTACAACATGTACAAAAACTGGATGGCTGTGGGAATTTACAATGTGGGCAAAGAAACCAATGAGAGCCTCTACAAAGAGATGTACTACAACAAGGACCAGCAAGGCTTTGTCCGGCAGGAGTCCAATGGCTGTGGGATCACCTTTGAGGGCAGCAACGTGGACATCAAGGCCACCATGTCCCCCATGGGCAGGGCCATAATGAAGGTGGAGATCTGGGACAAGCTTTCCACCCAAATGGCACAGCGTCCTAACTGACTGTATTAAAAAACAAGTTCATGTTAGACATGGTCAGCTCTGTGTAAACCTGTGCTAATATTATGCCTGTTCATGCAATAAAAGCATGTTTACTCAAAGCATCAGTTGTACTTATTGCTGCCAACGGAAAAAATAAATGAAACAAAACAAACAAAAAAATCTAGTTTAACAGGTTTATTTCTGTTAGTAGTTCTCTCCAGCATATTTAAAAAATATATAAACAATCAAATAAACAAATACTTTCAGTGTGGAAGTACATTTCCTCCAGTTAGATCCCTTTTAATAAGACAGTCTGAACAGTCAACTTAAAGGCAAATAATAATATATCACCAATCTGAATGTTATGCTGTGTAGCTGCATCCAGACATGCCAACAAATGGTTGCATGATCATAAATTTAAAAAAATTGCAAATTTTGGGGGCTAAAACAAACAAAAACTACTTTGGTTTTGGAGTATGCGGTTTAAAAAATGGATGACTGTTCAAGGTCAGAATTTGTCATTTTAACACCAAATGCATTTAAAAACAAAGAAAAAAACCATCATCCATTACCTCTTCAAAAGTTTGCTACCTGCCTTGTCTATGACTAAATTACCCCTTTGTATTTCAAGAACAATAAAAAAGTTAATTTCTCCAAACAGAATACTTCTGCTTTATAATTTCCTGTAAATAACACCTCAGTACTACCATACTGAACTTTAAGTGCTGCATGTTTAATTTGAGTGCAGCATCTGCGCCTCTCTTCCAGTAATAATAAAAAAAAAAACCTCTTTATGTAGAAAAAAGGCTCACAGATAAAGTGGACATTTTTTTCTGTAAACAGAAAGTTTATTCACTCAATTATTCATTTTATCAATAAGTTATAGTGCAATACAAAATTATATTTAAAAAAAAAAAATCTATGAGCGAGAATGCCATCACACATACAGCTCCACGACTCCATCTAGTGGTCAGAAGTGGTAAGTTTGCAGACGCCGTTTATAAGGTAGCAATTTTCCGTAAGAAAACAAAATGCAGCAAATTAAACATCTGACAAGGAGCTGGCATGGTTGGAACAGGTACTGAAGGACTTCGTGGTGTCATTACAGGTGGAACCACAGGCAACTGATGGAGTTTCTGACACTCAGTTAACAGTGAGTTTACGTTACAAGGCAGAAAATGGCTCATAGCTTTCAGTTAAATAAAATTCCGGTCAGAACAATAATTTTTACTAGCATGTAATCTGATTAACCACACTGCTCATTAAAAACACTGATGACTGTATTGAATCTGTCCTTCAGGTACATCTCAAGCGAGTCTAGAGACATCTGTTTCACATCATATCCCCTGTACTCTTTCTTAGCCGTCTTGTCTATTGGAACAATCTCCTCTGTGCTGTTGGGGTCATTGCGTCCAATAGCAGCGAAGGTGGGAAAGGCATCTTTCAGTCTGTCAGGAATACTCTGGTTGTAATTTGGGCAGCAGTATGCAGACCAGAGGTATTCTGGCACTGCCACCCGATTCTTCATCCAGTGCTCTTCTTTCTGGTAGGGCATGATGCCTGTCACTATGTAGGCTTCTCCAAGGCAGTAGGCTGCCAAGGTCTTGTTGACGGTAAGCTCTAGGACTTCCCAGGGTCCATCATTAGACCATTTCTTCTGCGGAACCACATTGGTGAGGGTGAATGTGGCAGACCGGCTCTGGTAGGTCTGGTGATGAAGACTAGGGTTTAGGTGGCCACGAGAATAGGTGGAGTTGATATAGTCCAGGTCCACTGCCTGGCTCTCCACGATGTTCATGTCCACTGGTCCAGGCAAGAAGGGGACCATGTTGCCATCTGCTGAAGGGTAGGCCAACTGTTCATGAACCAAAAGGGGAAAAAATGTTTCAGAAAAATTAAACGAATAAGACGTATTTGAATGTGTAATTCAAATGTAAGTGAAGCTGGATTTTCTTTATCTCCTTTACTCTCTGATGATCCATTTCTAGGGTCTGATGGACATGCTTTGACTCTTGCTTCCGTCTTTGTTTTGTATCATATGACTACGTCAAACTTTCTGCAGCCCCATATTAACCCTTACAGTTAATGGTAGATACACGTTTCCTACTACCTCTAGAGATGGATCATGGGTAGGATGTTGATGAGTTGACTTCAACCCTCACATTCTGTGTCAGGACCATTTTTTTGATTGCAAGACAATATACATATATATATATATATATATATATATATATATATATATATATGCACAGATCTTACAACTAAAGGTAGCCATAAGATTGTTGGAAACACCAAGTTGATCAGCACAAATCCACAAATCACCAAATGAGACAAAATTCAAAAGTTTTATGTTCAGTTTTGTAATTACGTCTCCATTTTTGCACTGCTGACTGTGTCTGGACTGACTTATTCTTTGGTCTAGATTAGGGGTGGGCAACTCCAGGCCTCGAGGGCCGGTCTCCTGCAACTTTTAGCTGTGTCTCAACTTCAACACACCTGAGTCAAATAATGAGGTCGCTAGCAGGACTCTGGAGAACCTGACTGCAGTTAGGAGGTGACTCAGCTTTTGGATTCAAGTGTGTTGGATCAGGGGGACATCTAAGAGTTGCAGGACACCGGCCCTCGAGGACCAGGATTGCCCACCCCTGGTCTAGATTCAGCTTCTGAGAATGGTTTATATAAAACAACAGTTTAAAAAGAAGAAAAAATGAAAAATGTGACTGTTCTTTTACCATTCACTGACCTACTTTGCCTTTTTTAAAATCAGATTTTTCATCTGGATGTACACAGTCAAAAATGTATTGAATTTGTCTTTTTGTAATTTGATTATTATCCAAATGATTTATCGATTCCAGAATTTTAACAATTTTGTTTTTTTGAAAAAGGAAATGGCACCACACCAGTGTTTTTGCTGATAAGGTTTTTTTTTAATAAAGTATCAGTAACTCACTTGCCTGGTTTCTGTTTTATATTATTTTTTATTATTTGGAACAATAACTTTTATGTTTGGTAATAATCTCTGAGATTACTAAACCTCAAAATAATGTGTTATTTCACAAAATAAAGGCGTTATATCTATAATTTTAAGAAAAAAACTGAAAAGAATAACTGAAAAAGAAAGCATTAATTTATTAAAACGTTAGAATCTTCAAAGGAAAGACTAATAGCATTCTAGCACCTTAGGGCCATTGTAGACAAAAGAACTAAACATTCAGTGCAACAGTTTAACAGAAAAAAAATAGTACAGGCTTATTTGCATAAACTTGCTGACTGTGAAAACACGGATATCACTTCTCCTTTTAGAAATGTGTGTTCTATTTTTCTTTACATTCTGAAAAACACTGAAAATTATTAGCTAAGTGAACTAAAATTGGACCTTTAGAAACTAAAGAGATTTTTTCTTTTTAGGTTTTTCAGTTTTAAACTAGTAAACCAGGAGGCACCCGTTTCTCCTGTAAATAAAATCTTTGATACTTAGGGACACCACTACTTGTACAGCATTCAACTTCTCATCCTATCAAAATCAGAGAACTGAAAATGTGAATTCGAACTTACTTACCTGTGGCTCATACTTCCAGGAAGCTTTGGGCCTTTTCCCAGTTGGTACAGAGTACAAATAAGCTGAAAACCACGCTGAACGGCGAGGTCGACTGTATAACGTGGCAAACTGGTACAAGTTGTTGTAACGTTGGCAGATCGGGGTCCCAGCCAGGCCTTTGGGGGGCCAGGATTTGTAGAAAAATTGCAAGCAGGGGATGAAGTCCCCAACATCTGCTACAGAGGCAGAGATGGAGGCCAGAAGAAGCAGAGATGTGCACAAACCCGTCATTTTCATCTGCTTTCACACAGAGTTAGGAATCAACTAAGAGCATGTTCCTGTTTTACCAACACATGACCTCTGAAAGAAAGCAGAAGCAAGTTTCAAAATGACTTTCTCCAAATGCCTTTTTATTTGAACAGATGAGGAATCCATTTATGTAAATGTCACTTTCCACAATCATACAATTTTATTAGTTAGGACGTTTGTACAAATCCAAAAAAAAAAAAAAAGACATATGGAGACTCCAAGAAGGTGCCTTAACGGGGCAGTATTTTGTAAAAAACAACTTTTTTGGAGCTTTAAATAACGTCATATTGTTATTCTCTCATCAAAAATATACCTGCGGTGTTGCCTTGATTCTTCCTTAAATGCTTAAGTAATCTACTTTGAAGTGCAGCTCCGATTCACAGAGCATGTCTCCTCGCGACTCCACACAGCTCCTCCACTCAGCCCGTTCAGACAAGTCAGCAGCAATTAGCGAACACCTGACGCAACTGCACACCCGCTAAGCTCATTATATGAGCTACTTCTCAGCACCACGCTGGTAAAAACGTTGTTAAAAAGTCAATAGAGGAGCAATGTTATGATGACTTCCTGAAGGCAGAGTTTCAGGGGGAGCAGGAGTTTTTAAAGAGACAGAGGCCCAATTTTAAGACATCAGATTTGATCCGGAGATGTGGATTTAAACATACCTTGAAAGCTATGACCACCCGTCGTCATGGAATTCCACCCCTATCTAACTCTTTTGCTATCCTGGTGTACCTTGTGACCGTCTGTGACTTGGACGATCTATTCCTTTAAGACTGTTATACCGTACAGGTGCTGAGTGTAGGTAGCTCTCTGCCTTTACTCACCATTTTAATTACTTTGCAACTCAAAGAGTCAAATTTGTTCATCTAAGACACCACGAAGCATTTTTCCATCTATTCAGGTGAAAACACTCATCCCTAACTGGTTCACAGCGCCCTCTGGTGTCCTGAAATTAACCTAACACCGGTTTTTCTCCACATTCAATTTTTCTAATATTATACAGGTTTTGAAATATTCTGCAATCAGTTGGCTAAAAAGTGTATTTATTGGTTTTACTGTGACAAAATTAATTTGGTGACTATTATTTCCTGTATTTTCCAAATAAATAGTAGTTTCCTAAAATGGAAAAAAAAGGACATTTCTTTCTCATATGGTATGGAACTATGTTAGCATCTGTTAATAATTAGAGTTCCATAGCGTTAGCAACTTCCAATAAATATTCTGCGACCATTTTGTTTCGTTTCAATAAGAAAAACCATAGCATTTTTATGGAATCTGCATTTTTTGTGAGCCTTTGATACTCGGAGGGCGGGTGTTCTTGGCAGAATGTTTCCTTTTCCTCGAATTCAAACTCACACAGATGAACTTGAAGTCCAGTCCTCACGGACCCCTCCCACATTTCTTATGTAACACAGTAATCAGGACTTAAATTCTGCACAACACAGGCACTGAGACCTTTTTGTCCTGAGAGAACAAAACGTACATTTCCTCTGCTGTGTTAGAGCTGCGAGGTAGGTTACTTTCTTTGCAACATGTTAACATAACGACAACAGATGAGATTCAGAGTAGAGTTTGCTCTTTCCAACTTCCTAAAGATCAGACCTGCAGACAGAAAAAATATGTTCTTGGGGAATAATTGTTTTAAATGTAATAGTTTCATATCAAGTTTCTTTGAGATTAGAGATTAAACTAACACCAGGCATTAGTGAGAACATGTGCTCCACTGGACTTTGATTTATTGAGCAACTACTGTGCGTTTCCCATCCTGATTTTGAAACTCACACTGAAACAAAATCAGAACTGCAACTTTCTTGGTACAATTATGTCTGAAGGGTTTGAGAAACTGCAGCTGAGCTTTGTACAGAGGAGTCACGGTTAAGGAAAATCATGCATTCCTATGCTACTAAAATGTTTCTCATGCACAGAGAAAAAAAGACATTCTAATAATTTCCAGATGTCTGTTGATCTTTCTCAGTTCTACAGTGTAATTGTTCAATTTAACACCAAAAGCTTTAATGCATTTCAGTGGGTTTATGGTCTAAAAAGTTGGTTTCCATTTGTATTCAGCCCCCAAGTTGATAGTTTTTTGTCTGATGGTCTTTGGGGGAATATTTCTATCACCTTTACACACCTGGCCAATCAGTGACCGACAGGCTTTTGATGCCACCTTTTCAACCCGACTCTGCATGAATGGAACCCCAGCGAAGTAGGTTCTAAAAAAAAGGGGGGCTGGTAACATGTAGATAATATTAATGGAAAACCCTTTTAACCCATGGAGAGCCGAGTCGAGCTGCACTGACTAGGCGCTAGTAGAAAAGGGCCACATGATTCTGCTTGTTCACCAATGTTCTCTACACTCACTGAACGGCTGAATTATTACTGATATGAAATTAAACACAGATGTAATTGCATGCAATTGTATTTAGAGGTATTAGAGTAAATAGGACAAGAGACACGTACTTGCCACATTTTCTTTGTTTTGGGAAAAAATGAAAAATGATTAATTCTTTTTGTTCAACTTCAGTTATGGAATACTTTATGTTGATCTATCACATTTTATACAAATATATAAACATTTGTGATTATAGAATAATTGACAAACACAAACAGTTTGAGGTTGGTTTGTCAAACACACGTAAATGTCTTTCTCTTTTTACCTTAACATTTTCAAGTAGCATAAACAGAAGGCATGTCTTCTTCCGTTTTCTTTGCTAAAGGATTAATGTTTAAAACTGTACCTTCACTGTGGTATGCTTTCTCTAAATTACTATATATGACTATTTTCTTCAGGGCTTTTCAATGGGGAGTCTTCAAGGAGCGTCACTCTTTCTGGTGCTGTGTGTGCCCCTCCTCACTGGTACCGGTGTCCAGGCAGGGAAGATTATGGTGTTCCCAGTGGATGGCAGCCACTGGGTCAACATGAACCTGCTGATCCAAAACCTTCATGCTAAGGGCCATGAGGTCACTGTTGTTCGAACAGCCACTAGTTGGTATGTCAAAGAATCTGCGCCACATTATCGCACCATTACTGTCACACTGCCACAAGCCATAGTCATTGAAAAGGAGGACTTCTTTGTGAACTTTCTCATGAAAATGCTGGAAATAAAAAAGGAAGGATCACTAACCGGTTTTGTTAAGTTTTACTGGGAGATGCTGAATGCATTGTCGGACATTCACAAACAGGCCAGCTTATTGGGAGTGGAAATGTTTGAGAACAAGACTCTTATGCAGAGTATTCGGGATACTCAGTTTGATGTGGTCCTGGTTGATCCAGGTTTACCTGTCGGAGTTCTGGTGGCTCATGAACTAAAGCTGCCAACAGTTTATAATGTGAGATGGATCACCAGTGGAGAAGGCCATTTTGTTGTGGCTCCTTCTCCGACTTCATATGTTCCAACTTCTGCACACCCTGTGACCGACAAGATGACATTTATCAAAAGAGTCAAAAATGCATTGTTCTATTTCCTAAACACGTGCATTGACAAGTTTGTTGTGTGCCCTCACTATGATAGACTGGTGTACAAGTACTTTGGTCCAGACGTGAAGTTCTATCACCTTCTTCAAGGTGCAGACATCTGGCTCATGAGGGTAGACTTTGTCTTTGAATTCCCCAGGCCTACCATGCCAAACATTGCCTACATTGGTGGATTTCAGTGCAAGCCCTCCAAGCCTTTATCCAAAGAGCTGGAAGAGTTTGTTCAGAGTTCAGGAGAGCATGGTGTCCTCCTGATGTCTCTGGGTACACTGGTTAAAGGTCTGCCAACAGATATCACCTCAGAAATAGCTGCTGCTTTTGCCCAGCTTCCTCAGAAAGTCATATGGAGGCATGCTGGTGAGCCGCCCAGCAACTTGGGCAACAATACCCTTTTGGTTAAGTGGATGCCACAGAACGACCTGTTGGGTCATCCAAAGACTAAAGCCTTTGTGGCCCACGGCGGCACTAACGGTGTCTACGAGTCCATCTACCATGGAGTGCCCGTCATCGGCATCCCCCTTCTGTTTGACCAGTTTGAAAACATCCTGAGACTGGAAGCACGAGGAGCAGCGAGGGTGGTGGACGCAACACAGCTCACGCAACAGAACTTCCTGGAAGCAGTGCAAGATGTCATTAACAATCCCTCCTACAGAAAGAATATGAAGCGCCTGTCCGCTCTCCATCGGGATAAGCCGATGCATCCTTTGGATACTGCAGTGTACTGGATAGAGTTTGTCATGAGGCACAAAGGAGCCGCACATTTACGAACAGAGTCCTATAAGATGCGTTGGTATTCTTATTATTCTGTGGATGTTTTTGTCTTCTTGTTGGCAATTTTGCTGATGCTGACAGCTGCCGTGGTAGGTTTCATACGATTCCTCTGCTTTCAGCTAAGCAGGAAGAGAAAATCTAAGCAAGAGTAAGTCGGAGCTCTCAAACAGAAGGCTGTTTTCTTCAACTTGACTTGGATCAGTGATGTAACTGACGTAAGAATACAGTTTTGCATTTCCAGGTTTTACATATAAAAATGATCTAGTCTTAGGCAAATTCTAAAATCATTGAATCGATTCTCAAATATGCAAAAGCTCACAATAGATCCAAGAATGTCAGTATTTATTATTTTTTTATTGTTGGGGCAGAAGCAGTAGCAACATTGTAGAAAAGAAATGCACTTCTTTAGTCAGTTATCATCTTATTGACAGCCTATAAATGTGGCATTTTGCTGCTCAAGAGCATCCGGGGCTGAGGGCTAACATAGGCAAGGTAGAAAAGCATCAAACAACAATGACCTTGGAGAAGCAATTGTTTATGCCCAATAATGAAGGATTGTAAGGCAATTTCTAGACTACTAGGCAGAATAATTATTCAAAAGTTGGCAGAAGTCACACAAAGCTCCAGTGGGGTTAGGGTTCCCCTTCATTTATTTATTCATTTTACTTTTTTTTCACTTCCTGTCAGCCCTCTCCAATTTTGTCTACTCTTAGTGCCTGTTCCCCACTCCTCTGTTGCTGTGCCGATGTAACTGGTGTTTGTACAGACTATGGTGTTATGAAAAATGTAATCAAATGCTCATCAGGAAAAAAAAGTACTGTCAGATGTCAGCGAATTTGTCTAACGTTCAGACTGTGAAATGTTCAGGAAATTTGGAAAGCACTCAAAACCTCTTGCAGGCTTCGTTTAGCATATTAAATGCCACATTTCATGAGAGGACAATAAGAAAAAACATTGAAGCACTACGGCTTGTTTGAATTGGTTGAAAGAGAAAGCCTTTTCTCTTAGAAGCGAACATCGTCGGACAAGTTGCACCCATTTGAACTACAACACTTCTGGACCAGAGTTTGACAAACACTGGCAGCGTTTAATCTGTTGTGTTCTTTTCTCTTTTTTTTTTGTACACTGAACTTGAACGAACTTGAATGACCAGGTCAGTTATCTCCTGAATTGTAAACACCTTGCAGGATCAATGACACTCTAGTTCTCTATTAGTACCGTGTTGGCTTGATTATTAATGTTTTCATTTGTGCAACTGTTCAAAAGTACGCTTAGCTTAAAATCCTGTGTCCAAAGGATTTGTT